ATTAGGGAAGGAATAGACTTGATCTGAAATATAACTATTTGACTACACTTTACCCAAAATCATAACAGGACTATAAGATTAAGATATCTGCCAAGTAAGGTCAAGGATACTGGAACAACTTAAAAGTGAAGAGGGGGAGGGATCCATTGATCCATTCAATGAGTTTTTCATTGTTGTTTGTTTGCTGTAGGCTTAATTACTGTTGTGGAAAATCCAGCATAAACTTAGTAAAACAATGCACAGGAGACAGGATGAGATCTGAAGAACAGCCTGGGCGTCTTTCATTGTACATATGTGGAAATCAGTACAGATGACAAACAGAGTCTCAGCCAAGACCAAGGAAAGCCTCCCTAGCTTTTCTTCTACTCCCTTTTATGCTGTTAGGTGTGTGTGTGTGTGTGTGTGTGTGTGTGTGTGTGTGTGTGTGTGTGTGTGTGTGTGTGTGTGTGTGTGTGTGTGTGTGTGTGTGTGTGTGTGCAGAAGGCTACTCACAATGACATGTTTGCCCCTCAACACTTTGTTTAGGCTCGTCTTGACCCTCGCAGAGATTAAATGTTCCATCAGACAGATGGTTCTGGTCTCTGCAAGACAACATTGCTTGCAATCTCAGGGTCATGAGGCTGCATGAGCAGGCCAACCTAAATTATTTGTAGCTCCTTACTAAAAGGTAATTACTCTATATTTCTTAACCTAAATGTATAAAGAGATTCTACTACATTGTGACCTCGATACAGGCTACACAGTCACAGGTCAGTCTGTTTATAAAGTTGTTCTTTTACTAAGACTACTGTTGTAATATTAGTAATATTTTACTAATAGTAATATTTTACTACTGTTGCTAGAGTTTCCACCCTTGGACTATCTATGATCTATCTGGTGAATCTGTAAAAATAATTTTAGGGGTGCTGAGGTAAAATTTAAGGATCCTTTACCACTAAAGCGGGTATAAAATGTCTATATTTTACATTAGCAGCATCACTCTGGAGCACTTCATCTTGTCTTCCTTTCCAGTGATATTAATTAAGACACAGCTTGTGGGGTGTTACTTTTCACACAGACTCAACACCGACCTTAACCTTTAAAATCCTATGGGGTGTTACTACTTTGGCAGAGTTCTGATGATCTTGGGTTCAAATAGGAAACCATAAATGCTAAGCTGTTTGTTTTTAATATATTTAAACCCATAAAAAGTGATGTGTTTGCTAATCATCAAACATAATGAGCTAATCTAAGCTTATTTTAACCCACACAAAAGATGTTTGTGAATCTGAGTACAAGTTATTTTGGTGTACAGTTTCACTAGAACAAACTGTGGACAAGGGAAAAAAAGGTTGATAAGTCACCATCGTGTGTGTCTGTTAATGACATTTAAAGGGGTCTGTGTCAAAGCACTAGTACTTGAAAAGTGTGAATTTTGAGATCAGACATTTGTGGGACCACTTGTGAAAAAATGTGCATAACTTTTCACAAGATTTCAAACAAACTGTTTCATGAAATATCTGCTGTGTAGAAACACAACTATTTGACAGTCTTAGGTGAAATCAAGTCTGTAGCTCTATGACAGTACGATGCTGCAGTATCTTTGCAGTATGCCTCTTTCAGACAGATAGACCTTACTCAGCGAGGCTTATTCTCATCTTAAATTAACCAAAAATCCAAGTGTGACAAAGACCCAGATCCTGAACACAGCCCACTGATCACACACAAGGAAGTGAATCACTGACTCTTCAAACTTCACAACAAAGTAATCTGACACCGCTCTCTGCCTTCCTCCCACTTGGCCTCCTTCCGTCTCTCTCCTCTCTCACTGCCCCCCCCCCCCCCCCCCCAACCACCACCACCATCACCCCAGCCCCCCACCTCTCCGTCCCACACTGACCCCTTTCAATGACTAAGTGGTGGCCACTGTAAAGTGACCAGTCTTTCTCCTGCCCCCTCCTCCCTCCGTCCCACTGTGGGAAGAGGATGATTGATGAAGAGGAAGAGCGAAAGATAACATCTCTTAACTGCTTCTTAAAAAAGGCCCATAAATGTCATGCTCATTTACTGTGAAGCTTTCCGAGTGTTAGAAAATCGACTTTAATGCATTTGAGTGAAGGGACACTTGAAATACAGTTTCACATTTGGATATTCTCAGACCTTCGTAACCTTGGACAGACAAATTTAATGTCTAATATTTTTTTCTGATTATTCCATACTGAGGAAAATCTTAACTTTTGTTTACTTTCACACATACACATACTAAAGTGCAGCCTCAAAAATCAGCCTCTTTCACATTTGCACTCCTGCACTAATTTTAAGGAGCTCTGCCTGAGAGGTCTCCTGTCAGCACATGTCCATTACAGTATGCAGAAGTCTTTACTGATGGTCTCGAAAGGAAGGGGGTCTCTGGACATGGTAGGATACACAATCAAAACAATGCATATCTTCATATTTGTGTCATTATCATGCTAACATGTGAGGCTGTGGTGTATAATGAATAAACTTAAGATCATGACCTGTTTTGTAGCTTCCTAACAAAGAATGCAGTGAACCTACAATAGCTTACATCATATTTACACACCCATCCCTCTGTTATCTAAAGTAAAAGTAAAAAGTTTTTGGATTTACACCAAAAATAAAAGTTTGGCTTGGTGTAGGCTGATAGGGAATATGAGGGAAACACTAAATCTTAAGATAGAGAAGCTCTCACACTTTGTATTTATGAACTTTTTAATTATTTAAGTAACCATAGGAAATGTGCACTGAAATGCACATTGTTTTTGTCAGTTGTAGTATTCATATGGCTACATTAGCGGCTCTTTTCTAGTTTATAGAGATCAGTAAGTTGTGTTTACTTGCTGTTGTAACTTATTATTGGCCCAGTTAGTTGTTAAGGCAGTGTATTTTAAATCAGCCACAAAACACTGAGCATTTTCATGAAATCATGTTTCAACTTAAGACACCCACACTTTGGTTTTTTACTGTTTTTTTACTGTTTGTTGCCTGGATATGCCCATCATCAGTTAACGTCATTAAAGAGCATTACTGTGTTCTTATGTTTTTATTTGGAACAACTCAAATAGTGAATATTTTTTAAATTGTAACACCTATTTATAGTGCTTTTTGCTTATTGTCACTAAAACAGGGAAATTCTAAACGCATACACCAAGTGAAGGACCACCTGGATTTGCATTTATACATATGATCTGGAGAATTAATATCACAGGATGATAAGTCACACTCTGCCTCTAAAGGTCTCTCAGGGGAAATTAGTGTACACTAGCATGAGATCTGTCTATTTTTTCTCAAAAGGATGTTCCATCCTGGGTTGTTGAGTTTAGCCTGTGATAATGCTAACAGCTGTGACCTCCTGGTCACCTGGATTTTAAAATCAAAGCTTCAATTAAAACAACTCTCCACTAGATTATTTACTTAATAGTAAACCGCTATTTTCTTGAAATGCATTACTGTGACTGATTGAAGGGTGAAGCTGTTTAAAACTTGTGCTACTAGCCTGGTCCGTGTTCCCATGTATCCATGTATCCACCATAATGTCCATTTCTCTGTCTCTTTCTTTTTCCTTATTTATTTATTCATTTATTTTTTTATTTGATATTGCTCTTAAATGTGTTTTAAATGTTTTATACTGTTTTTAATGTGGTTTGTACGGTGACCTTGAGTGTCAGGAAGGCGCCTTCAAATAAAATTTATTATTACTATTATTATTATTATTATTATTATTATATAGGATGCATCTAATTTTTTTTTAAGTGAATTAAAAGTGCATCAAATTTTACAGATGCTCTGAACCTTATAGGCTGTTTCATTTAGGAATGAACAGCAAGTATAACCCGACTTTAGAGCCCTTTGTCCCCCACATTTAGGTTTAGCATCCTTCAGAACATCAGCCTTCTGATCCACTCACAGGTCAGTACATATTCAACAAGGTTAGCACGCAAACTATTACATACTGTTTACAAGTAAAATGACTTGCAGAGTCAATATAACTAGTTTGTAATTCCATCAATAAAACGTATAACTCAAAGAATTGATTTCAAAGAGTTATGGTTAAGATATACTAAAACTAAATAAGATTTCCTAAGAATGTTCAAATTGCTGCCAAAACCTGGACAAAAAGCAACATCTTGAAAATTGAAGATAGTTTTCAGACCTACAGTCTGCTAAATGTGCCAATGAAACCTACACATGAAATATCAATAGTGCTTATTCTGCCCAGTCTGTGGTGTAGCTGTAAAAAACTACAAACCACAAAGTGGAGTCTACTCAACTTTGACCAGAGAGCCCAAAATGTATTTCCAGAGGAGATAATTGAAAACAATGGCAGCAGAAAATTGGCTGTTTAATATCATCTTCATGATTTCTACCTAGTCGGTTAATTTAGTCAGGTATGGCTGCTGTTAGCAGTGACGACAATTTGATTACCAAATCAACCCTGGTTGGGAATCTGCTGAGAATTTGATGAATCAGAGGGGTCATAATCTCCCAGACACTCTGGCAGCAAATCAGCTCACAAAGCAGGCTATTAACCCAGCCATACAGTCAGCTGATGGATGGACAGTCAGGGGCTGAGAAAGACGAGAGGATGGAGAAAGTACTCAGTCCTTAAAGATTAATTATTAATGTTTATCACAGGACTGCCTTTAAGAAGCACATGAAAAAAATGCCTATATGTCTGTGTACTATACCCACTTAGCAAAATTTGATTATATTCACACCAGCTCTTTACCGGCTGTATTTAAATTTTGGACAACCATATTTTTTTCAAAGTCACAAGTCCTTGAGTGTCAGTCCTCCTGTCAAACAGAGAGCTTTAACACAGAGCAGTGTAATAAAAACAGCATATCAAACAAATCTGTGTTGCTTGGCATTCAGTAACCTGGCCTATCATACCACTTTGAAAAATGCTGGCTTTTTCTTTAGTTTGGAGAAGTGAAAGCTGAAACTTCCTCAGCATTGTTTTCAAGCTGGTTCCACATGACTGTCAGTACACAAGAGTTTTTAGGGTGATTTCACACTTGTGGTTATATAAAAGAAAAATCAAACACATGCCAATCTATTGGTTAATTTTTTGTAGCCCTTTTTTATTTTAAATGTTTGCAATGGGGGGCTGCTATCGCAGTTGGTAGGCTATATGTTTTCATGTGTGAAGCCTTTGATAGAGAGAGAGAGAGAGAGAGAGAGAGAGAGAGAGAGAGAGAGAGAGAGAGAGAGAGAGAGAGAGAGATTGTCAGAAGGAGGAAATGAGACAGAAGAGTCTTGAGAGGCTCATTTATAGCTGAGAAACAGATCTGTGCTGGTAAACAAAAGAGCTGCCCGTGTTAACTATTTTCATTCTAAACCGTAGGCTATGTGTTAAGTCACTGAAACTCCCGGTATCTGTCTCCTTAGGTGTGCTCAGCCTGTATGACCACACCAGAAACCCGGAACCCGCGCACCTGTGAGCTGACGTCACCGGCTGAAAGTACCTGCAGCGACTCGTTGGGCTGAACTCCCTTTAGTGACTTAAACGACCTCATAGAGACCGGACGAAGAGGACGCCACGACGACATTTCGAGAAGGAATATATTTGTAATTGATTTTCACAGTTTGCGTTCATTCCCGGGAATATTTTAATAGGATTTACAGACTGATGGGGGCCGCGAGGTTTGCGGTTTTGGCCGTTTTAAGCGTCGTTTTACAGGTGAGATTTCCTGCTGTTGTCTCTCAGTGCTTCCCACTTGTCACTGTCTTGTATGTAACTTTCTAAGCAACCTCTGACCTCTTTCCGAGCATCAGGGTGGTTTTCAGAAGAGTTCATTTGTTTTTTAAGTTTTCTTTTTTTCTTTTCTTTTTCATTTTTTTTTAGCCGTGCAGGTTTTTCAGTGACGCTAAAATCGTCAACCCTTGTTAGTCCCACCTCTTGAGGATTTGTATTGGTGTTAACTGCACGGTGATAGACAGCGATGGTGGATATGGGGGTTGTTAATGGCGGACTAGCATGTTAATAAGTTTCGACGTAAGGTTTCAGAGCTAGTCTATTATCACGAGAATTCACAAAGTAATGTTTATAGGTCTGTAAACTGTAGTAAGGTGGGTTGGAGTCGCCATCAGTCTATGGTCGCCATCTTTGGTGTCTTCGTCCTCTCGCGAAGGTGTTGGGTCAAAACGGCCTCGCCCTTCTACCGTTGGTGACGTCGGCAGATTAACCGATAACCAGACAAGAACACCAACTTTATAACTTTGTGTTGGTTTAAAAAGTATTTCAATTACAGTAAAGTACTTTAGAAATATCAACAGTTTGTTCGACAATGTTTTCCATAAGCCAATTTGAGGAATACTGTCCCGCTCCAACATGGTGCAGTTTTTAGGAGACCATGTTGAGACCAAAACCAAGGCCGATTTCTCTGTAACTTTAGGTCACTTGGTAATCACAGTTTCGGTTATATTTTTGTATTGAATAAAGGAAAATTATTTTTTGCAGTTAAAAAAAAGAAAAAAGATTTAATGCACTTATTGCATTGGTTGCCCAGTCACTGGTAGATGGAGCTCATTGACAGCCCGTTTTAGGCCATTGTAACATACAAAAATGCCAATATTAAAGTCCCATTTACCACCTGCTCTTAAGAAAATCCAAAGTCTATTTAATTTCAACAAAACATAATGACAATGTGAAAATATTCGGCATTTGTAAGAGATTATGTGTAGTACAAAGTCAAACTATTTAGTTCAACCTTTTTGCCTGTCTCTGCGGCACTTTTTCTTATACTTGACTTTTAATTCCAGCATTTGAATTTTGTTTTTCAAAATGCTGAATTGATCCTTGATGTCAGTTTTAGTTGTTGACATGTAATTTTCGAAGTCCGGCACAGTTCTAAAAGTTGAGCTTAATGAAATACTAAAGAAAAGAGAGTTTTGTCTTTGTTTCTCTGTATGCCTGAAAAAAAAGAGTCTTTGGATCACATTGCTTGAGGAAATCCAAATGACTCATCTCCAAGAAATTGTATCAGCAGATAAGCTGATCAGTGTTACATGCAGCACTAGACTGACCCTATGACTCACGTTTGGTGTGTCCACTTCAACTGGTGTTCAGATTCATTAAAACTAGATCAGGCTAAAAAGGTTTTCCTGTACCTGACATCTCCAGCACATGTAGACTGGTTTGTTTGAAACATTTTTCTGACTTTTAGGCCTCAGCTGAACTCACCACTGAGGAGCCAACATGTCTGCCTGGATTCGAGGCAGATATGATGATTTTCAAAGTGAACAGAAAGCACCTGATACCAGGCAGGAGACTGGGCAGAGGTAAGCACAAACAGTGTGGATTTTTTTTTTCTGTTCTGTAAAAACTGAATTTGAAGATTGTAAATTCTTTAGATGAACATTGTTGTTACAGAGGCAGTCAGACAGCGGTCACAGTGAAAGATAAAACTCCTCAGCTCTTGTTTAAGTACTCCTCAGACAGCCTTCGACGTATTAGTTGTTCACATTGTTCTCACATGAAGCCCAAACAACCTCAGGTCTCAGCTTGCACCCACGAAGCTCTTCATGTAATGCTGCAGGGCAAACAATGTCCTGAGCCTGTTTAGCAGGGTTTGCTTTTCGGATGGTTTTAAACATTTGAAGAAGATTTCTTTGTTAAATTTCTCCTTTAGTTGACTCAAGGGTGTGGTCTTGTGCAATTCAAGCCAGTTTTTAATTTGGTAAAACACTCAAACACAATTATATTTAATCCTATATCTCAGCTTTACCAGCAAAGTCTATCTGCTCTCTGTTATCAGCCAGTATCAGCAAGTCTTGGTGATCATGATACAGACTTAACGACTAAATCTAGAGGCCAAACTGAGCTTACCTCAAAAGGATTAGCTTCTTTTTTAGCCTTTAAAAATGCTGCTTTAGCTGTAAAGGGCTATTCAAAATTGGAACATATCCCAGGATGCTTTGTTCTCAACATGGGGGTTACTTGCACACAGAAGCACTGATAAGTAGAATCCACTCAGAGGTATGTTAACTCTGTTGAAAGTCCTTGAATGCAGTGTGACTTGAATGTGTTGGCTTCAGTTTGTAAACTCAACACAGAAATTTGCCTAATTTTCTTCCCAGCTCAACAAAACAGGTCACTTCCTCTTTTGTGTGAGCTTACAGTATGCCACAGGTCACCAGATTTTCTCAAGGGTCAGTCCTCACATCCTGTACACTGTTGCTGGCAGGGGGTTATAGACACACACAGCCTAACAGTCAATTTGCAAAGAAGTCAAAATAAGGAAACACAGGCAGGAGACAGTGTCTTTGCAGAAACAACACCATGAAGTGGGTCATAATTCATGATTAAGAAAGAACAAATAAGAAAGGCTGATTTTAAATGGTTAAAAAAAAGAATGAGGGGAGAACTTTGTTTGAATGCTTCTTTGTTGTTGTTTTTTTTGTCACTGGGGATTTGGATGGTAAAAAGCAGGAACCAACAGAAAGTAGATTGACATTATCTAAACTAGGCTTACAAAAGACCCTGATAAGGATAATGTACCTGGCAAGAGTTGATTGCTCAATTCCTGTCAAAAAATTAGAAGATGCAGAAAAACAAATATCTGTTGTAACAGCTGAAGGCTCATTTTTGCTCTCTTTATGTACAAAAATCTATTGGTACATTTCAATTGATGTAATCATCACAGTATCTATACTTCGATGGGACCTTTGCACAGGAATGGATGTTCAGTATGTTGTGGTGCCTCTCAGATCCAAAAGTCACCCTTCAAAGGAAAGGAAATTTCAAAAGATATGATGGATATATTCTGTTTTTCTGAAAGTTAGTTATTTCTGGGTACAGTTGAGTCCTTTAGTTCACTCTTATTGTTACTAATGAGGAGGAAGGTTCAACTTTTTGGAGACTTTTCATCACAGTTTGGTACTTTTTCCACTAAAAAATCTTTGAGACCCTCTATGAGTTTTTAATATCATTTATTTGATGCAGTAATATTTTGTAAGACTGGTACAATGCCTTTCTATTCAGTTGTTTCTAAAATGTGCTGGTGTATGATGCTGTGGTTTATGACACTCATGAATATTAAAAGAAAATCTCATGCCTTGCAACAATCAATTCTCAGTAGCTAGATGAGGTTTTCGTGTACTTGTGAAAAGAAACAAAATAAAAACAACAACACTTATGTGCACAATATGACACCATATACAGCTTGACTGCAGCTGCAGTGAATCATATAATCAGACCCTCCGATATTGTTGTAATCGTTATTAATATGATTATTTGATCCATCAGTCTGTTATATGACACTATGCTGTTCCTACTAATTTCACACACACTTTTACCATTATAACTGGTATGTTGCTATTAATCTGTGATTGTTGTTGTTGTGCCTCTTTGTTTCTGTCCATCTTTCTCTTTCTGTTTCTTATCTGTCACACTATATCTAAGTCCAACACAGTCAGCTGAAAACTTATCAACACAGGTCTGGTTCTGCTCAAGGTTTCTGCCTGTTAATAGGAAGTTTCTCCCCTCCAAATGTTGACCAGAAATGTGTTTTTTTTCCTGTCTCATGTTTGAAGACCTGTCAGGTTTATTACTTTCAGTGGGATTTTATCAACATAGCCAGGGCAGACATCAGTCTCTCCCTGGGTGTATAGCTTGGCAGGTAGACAGTAGGCAGGTAAAAGCTCCACGCTTAGGCTATAGAGGTCAGACCAGTTATTCTGCCTTAGGATTACACAACCTGAGCTCAAAACATGACTAAATCTTTACTCCAGATGGAACCTTAGCACATTTTAAAAAGTTTTTACACCAGTGCTCGTACTACTTGATACTACCCCACACATCTTTTTACACCACAGTCTAAATCACTTAACTCAAAGCAGAGGTTTCTGCATGTTAAAAGGAAGTTTCCAATAATCAAGATCACTTTTTATACACCAGCTTTTGGACAAAAACTTTTTTGATCAGTGCAACTATGTGTAGTTTGACAGTCTTACTGAGTACTGTTACTAGACAACCAATAGTGATTGCAGGTCACACAAAAAAAGACAGTTTGTGTCATGACTTTGTATTTCTAGCTTGATTTGTTTGCCTGTTGAGAGTGCAGCTGAGGGGTTAATGTGTTTACCCTGAAGAAATGGAGGTGAAACTTTAGGCTTTTTCTGAAAGATTTTAGATTTTTTGTTAAGATGCCTTTGTTTTTATTTGTTTGATATACAGAAAAGATTATTAGGTAAATCAGTCCTTTGCATGTCCTGTATTTGTAATGGATTACTCTGTTTTTTTTTTTTTGTCCGATCACAGTACGCTTCACAGACTGCACAGAAGGCACAAGGTACCTGGTCCACACTGTTGACAGGCGGTTTGCAATTCAGCGAGACGGCACATTGATGGTCAGTAGAGAGTGCCACAACTAATGTTTTAAAAATAGCTATTTTAATTCTCCTTGATAAGCCTCATGTGATTATTTAATGAAATGCAAATTCAGTGATGATGACTACACAAGTTATGTCAGCAGGATTGATTCAAAGATGCTTCACTTTCATGGTATTAACTCTTGTTTCCTGATTTAAGAAACTCTCAGCATTAACAACTTTTATTTCAGAACAATGAACGTTTAAAAAAATCAGATAAGATATGAATGTTACACTGAAAGAAGTCCTGTGATTTTTAAGATATTACACATTAGATTCAGCCCATGTTAAACACTGTAGAGGCTGAACAGCTACAACACTGATGGTTATATAGTTGACCAACCCAAGCATCATCTAACTGTCTCAGTCGTTCTGTAGACTTTTCACATGGAGGGCTTTTGTAAATGAAAGATGTGCCGACATGTCAGTCATCTTCTGATTTGTCTACCCAGGTAAAGCGTCAAGTTGTTCTCCACGAGGGACATGTGGACTTTTCGGTTAACTTTACAAACCTTCAAGGTCGCAAAATGAGTGTCACTGTGAGGGTAGTGCACAACAGACATCATCATGGTCATCACAATGGAGGACATCATGAGCAACAGCACGGGCATCACAATGGGCAGCAACAGGACGGACACCACCATGAGCACCATCGCGGCGAGCAGCATGGACATGAGCATCAGCACCACCATGGAGACCACCAAGGGCATCAGAACGGGCATCATCATGATAACCATGACCATAACCACGGGCATCAACATGAAAACCACCAAAATTCGGAGCATCACCATGGGGATGACAAACATCACCAGCAGCATTCTGAAGTGGACTCGTCTGTGAACACAGAGGTGGGATTGAGCACCACAGAATGTGATTCGGGAACCTGTTAAATTCATCAATGAAATCTCACATTAAAGGTTTGCCAGTCATAAAGTTATAGCAGGTTGTCCCCACTAAACAAATACACAGGAACAAAGATGGCTGTATCTCATGCCAACACTGCCCCTATGTGGCTGTATGTGAATTTGCAGGACTTTTTGTCTTCAAAGCTCCTAAATGGTTTTCAGGCTATAAATTGTCTTTTTTTTCATAAGCTGTAGAAATTATCAGTACTCATCTGTTTTTGTATTATTTATTTTTTTACTAGAAGAACAAACCTATAAGAGCTCATTTTTTGAAGCCAGAGTAGATGACAGAAAGGCTCCAGTTTACAATATTGGAGGTAGTTATGCAGTGATATACAATAATGTAAAAAAAAAAGCCCAGATTTTTACTATTTCAGAGACATAAACAACTTTTGAATGACGGTAATGATAGTGTGTGTCCACAGTAGCATCTTACTCTGCCGTGGATGTTACAACACACTGGATAATTCTCATTCATCGCCTCCATTAGGAACTCATAAAGCAGTGTTGAATTTTTATTTGCTCAGGTGACTTTAATTGTAAGACAGCACAGGCTCACATTACTTTTCAGCACTCGTGACAGATTTTTGACTGCTGTGCTGCCAAAAGCACACCAGATAAAGTTTACCAAACTTTATACCTCCAAAATAAACAGACTGTGAGATGCCCTTCATCCTGTCTACATTTGGCTCTCCTAAAAAAGGACCCAGATTAGTTTGTTGTTAATTATCACTCATTTCAACAACACAAGTGATTCTTTTGCACAGGTTTTCAACCCCCCAGTGACCAATAGTTTTCCTTTTTGTTACAGACTGCAACTGAAAGGCCAGTCCCTGTTTTGATTTTTCCCAAGTCAAGTAAAGGACTGAGCAGGAGGAAGAGAGACTGGGTTATTCCTGAGATCAGAGTTAGTGAGAATGACAGAGGACCTTTTCCCCTCAAAGTGACTCAAGTAAGTAAATTTACATCTCTTTGGTACTACATTGTATATTAGATGTGTTTGTAAGATGTTTATTTCTCGGTTTCCTCAGACTTTTATTGGTTTTGGTTTTATGAATTACATTTTTTTCAAGTGTTTTTCACTCCTGATCTATTTTATCTTATCGCCCCTCTTCTTCTGATGAATCTTTGGTTACATGTATTTATTAACACTTACAGATGCAGTAATAAAGCCAAGTTATGTAAAAAAAAAACTCCTTTTGATGAGCTATGTAACATTAAATGTGATAGCATATCTCATTTACATAAGGCTAGATACAGCTGGAAGATCATTTATATAAGGTGACTCATATAAACTATTTATTCTTTATTACTAAGGGTTAATCAACAGATGAAGCAGTAATTATATCATACATCATTGAAGGTAATGGTTTAGTAGTTGTCAAATATGGTCATGCAGAACAAGGTGTAAGTGAATGCCATATAATGAGTAGTAGAAAGCTTATATGGTACTATTATTAATGCTGATGAGCTACTTAAATAATGAAAAAGTGTTTCCCAGTCTAAAGTGTTACTCGGTACTCTCTATATTAAAATGATCTGACTCAGGCCTGCTGGTTTTTTTCCAGATCCGTTCCAATGAGGACAAACTAAAGAAGATTTACTACAGCATCACTGGTCCAGGAGCTGATCAGCCACCTGTGGGTCTTTTCTCCATGGACCGACTCACTGGTAATCTGTATGTTACACAACCTCTGGACAGAGAGAAACAAAGCAAGTACATGGTGAGCATCCTCTCTGCTGCAGTTTTAAAGATACATAGGTGTGACGTTCAGTGCTGGAACTGTGTCATTAATCCATGCAAACTAAGAGCACAGAACTGCTGTTTGTCTTTGTTTTTGATGTTTTGTACAAATTTTGCCATGCTGGTGATTTTGTAGGTCAAATTTCATCCTCCCGTACTCTCCAAAATCTAATATTTCATATGTTTCCTCCTTATTGAATCAGATATTGTCATGACTGACCTTTCATGTATCTCATAGTTCTCACCAATGTCTTTCTTGGAGCATGAAGAATGTGTTTAATGTCACTCACAGTTCTGCTTTCGTAATATTGAATGAAATATGCAGATTTACCTTGCATATCTATTGTTGTAAAAGAGATGGTATGATGGGTGTATTTGTCTTTGTGCAGTTTCAAGCCTTTGCTGTGGCAGAGGGTTCAGGAAATGCAGAAGAGCCAATGGAGATTGTGGTGAATGTGCTTGACCAGAACGACAACAAACCACTTTTTACCCAAGCCACCTTCCTTGGAGAAGTCCCTGAAGCCTCACCAATTGGTACGGCCTATAGATTAGATTTTATCCCAACAAAAAAGAAAAGCAAGTAGAAGCAAAACCTCCTGTTGAACCCAATGAAAGAGCAGGATGAAAATGCTCCTGTTTGTCTACAAAGTCCATCTGCCAGCAACTGTCTGTGTGCTGGGTCCTCTCACTTTGATGATCTTTAATTTTTATCATCCTGTAGACAAAGTTTCAGCCATGAGGATGTCGTTTTAGCAAAATTACAAAATTCTCCAAAATATTGCTTAAGCAATTACTCTGTTTGTGTGACACCTTTTTTAATCGAAATGTTTTGACAAGCAAGCAAATCACAAGACTAATATTTGTGCCGTACTTTTAATGCAACAAATAATTCAGGCTAAGTGATTCAGACAGAGGGAAAATCCATGCACAAGGTTAAAACAAATAAAAGTGTCGTAAACAAAGGACTCCATTCAAACAAGAGATGCTAACTGAGAATATACGATCATATCACTATCTTGAGACTACCAGAAAGAAGGAATGAGATATAGAAAACTGACTGAAATGTCCAATCACTGAGTTGATCCCGCATAAGTGGTTCCCTTGGCTGGAATGTAATGATGATTCTCCTAAGACAGTGAGACAGGATGATTGATTTCGGATTCTGAATTTAATGATTTTATTCTTAATCTCCCTTCTTCCTCTTCTTTGTCCAGGTTATGAGGTCGTTAAAGTGAATGCGACAGATGCTGATCAGAAAGATAATGATAACTCCGATATCCGTTACCGTATTATGCAGCAGGATCCAGTGCTGCCCAACGATAACCTGTTTGACATCAACTCGATCACTGGAGCAATCAGAGTCAATGCTGGAGGTCTGGACAGAGAGGTGAGACTTGTACTTACTTTTACAACCAACATTGAGGAAGATATTTCACTCAACCCCCATTTTCTTAACTTTTCTGAATTCGATAGGTCCCTCAAAATTAGAAACTATTCTTTGTTTGACCGTTGGCTGTAATTCAAATATTAAAATAAAAAGCACATCTGCTTTAAACTTTCTTAAATTAAATGCACCAATAAAAGCAGCAAGGCTTGAAAAGGTGGATTGGACTGAATTCAAAGTTCAGGAAGCTAAAAGAAATGTTAGTTTTGTAGTTAATTTATCTCCTTGTGAGTTTTTATAAGGATTTGAAGCCACTTTATTATTGCCAAGATCAAGGGTTTTTATGCTTTATTTAAAGGCTTTGCCCTTCTTTGCATTTTTAGTTCAGGTCCTAAAATATGGGTGATTTTACAAACATATCTGGGCTGTTATAGTATGTCAGCTTTGGAAGGTAATGTGCTAGATGATGAATCATGGTTGCAGATTTTTAAGCTCATTGTGTTTGTTTCTTTGCAGAAATACCCAAAGTACACTCTGAGGGTACAAGCCGCAGACATGAAGGGAGAAGGCTTATCTACAGAGGCAAAAGTAATCCTTACGGTCACAGATAGCAACGACAACGCTCCGATCTTCTCTCAGCCCTCTGTAAGTTCAGAATTTCTGTGAATGGATCTCTCTCCTCAGTGGGACAGATTCTGTCCTGATAACATTGAGCAAATAAAACACAGCATAATTATTTTTTTTTACAGCCTTGCATAAAACAGAACTGCACAAATATTTGAGGGCGTTGATCAGTGTTTTTGTCGAGTTTGTTCACACTAATAATGTGTGATGACAAATCTTATGTTTTTCCGCATGCAGTGAGCAGATAATAATCTCAAGCCCTTGACTGGAACTAGGGAACTACGCTACTTTGTGACACATTTAGGGTCCTTGCCAATTCAGAAAAAAATCTCACACCTGCTTCATATGAGAAGCGTGTTGGCAGTGTGGCTGCTGTTAACTGGTTTTATACTTATTCATGCACGTCATGTCTGCCTCTCACACCAAAAATGACCTGTTTTTCTGTAAGCTGCACTCTAATCTCAAACAAAATACACAGAAAAATGAGAAGTTAAGGGCTGCAGTGACTTTGGGTGAGCTATATTTCTATCACTGAAAAGAAGTTGTTTGGTAGAACCGAGGGACACCTTAAACCTCATGCAGCAAACATGCTCCCTCTGCGACGCAGCTTTTTGAAAGTCTTAAGTTGGATTTTGAAAATTTAAGGTAAAATGTGTCAAAAAGTTTTGTTAAGTACTATAGGTCTTAAATTATGGAAGGAGCATATCGAAGAAGTCTAAATGCACAATCAAGTCTACACTGTCCTCATAGATTAATAGATGAAGTCTCACTGTTCTGTGTGGCTTTGCTTGTTCGTGTGACGAGTAGGCATTTATAAGATTTGTTACATAATCATTCACAAGAATGAATCAATGCAAGGATAATACAGACATGAAGTTACAACTGGCATGAAAAATTGTATATATATATATATATATATATATATTTTTTTTTTTTCATTTAGGTCTGAGAAGAACTTAAATTTGATTTTATAATGTGTACAACTCTGATAGAGACCATTAATCAAGTCTGTTCTCTAGGGAGCAAAGAAATGGTTTTCTGCGTGTTTCACATGCACATTTTGAACACATCCCTTTCACTCTCCTAGTATTTGGCGTCAGTGCCAGAAAACAAGCCGGACACCCAGATCCTCACAATGACTGTGACAGACGGCGATGAGCCACATTCCCCAGCCTGGAATGCCAAGTTCACGATTGTGGACGGTGACCCTTCAGGACTTTTCTCTGTGAAAACTGGAACCAACAAACACGAAGGAATCCTTTCAACTACCAAGGTAGGAAGTAAATGGAGAGGTCATAAAGTAAGTTGCAGTTTGAGTGAAAAGAAGACAGTTAGTTGGTGTTAATGTATTTTTCCTGATATGTTTCAGTTTAATAAAAGAAATAGCAAAGTTTTGCTTATGCGTGTTTTCCTTCTCTAAACCAGGGTCTGGACTTTGAGAAAAGCGCAAAGCACACTCTGTTGATTGCAGTGGAGAATGATGTCCCTTTTGCTACTCCACTGCCCACTTCCACTGCCACGGTGGTGGTGACTGTAATTGATGTCAACGAACCCCCGATCTTTGATCCAGTAGTTAAGACTGTGTCAAAAAAGGAAGATCTTGCTGTGGATGCCGACTTGGTGCAATACACTGCAGCTGATCCAGACATCGCTCGCAAACAGAAAGTCACGTAAGAGCCATTTGTTTTTCGTTTAAAGCGTGATGTCAAAAGTAAAAAGGCTGAAAATATGATGCCTTTTACCAGTTAAAGCTATTAAAAACATGACTGGATCCACAGAAGCTCACAAAACAGCCTTAGACCAGCTGAGCATGAACTTAAACTTGTCTCTACCAATCTCTCTCAGACATGCTCTACAACAGAAAAGAGTAATATTAGTCAGATATATAATGTTGAGTTTCATCGGCTTAAAGGTGATAATTGATGTGGTGGTGTGTAAAAAGCAAATACAGTGGGAATAATATAGGCCCAAGAATGCTTCCCCAAGGACTACTGTATCTAAAATCATGTGTCTTTTACACACAGGCACCAAGTTTGATTAAAAACCCTCTATTGAAAAAAACCAGGTTAAAGCAGGGTCAAAGAGACCTGCCCATTTCTCAAGGCTGTCTATCAGAAAATTGAGCACCAGCTGCCCTCTTACCACTAAAGGTCCTTTTCATGATTGAGTTATTTTTAGAGTTACATGTTTTGGGCATATTTGGTTTTATTGAAAAGAGACAGACAATGTGGGGAGTAGAGAGCTTGGAAAAACACATGCACAGCATGCCACAGCAAAATGCGGTAGACTTTGCTCTTACATCACTCTGTGTCTGTCTTTTCTCACTACAGGTACAGAATAATCCGTGATCCTGCAGGCTGGTTGGATGTGAACAAAGACACCGGACTGATAAAGGTGAAAAGCCCCATGGACAGAGAGTCCCACTTCACCATAGACGAGAAATACACAGCTCTGATTGGTGCAATTGACAGTGGTAGGTTGGAGGCTGATATTAAACCCTGCTCTCTGAACTTTTCTAACCAAAACACTTTTAGATTGTCTGGAACCAACTCTATTTGTTTTCCTGATTTGTGATGTTTCTTGTCAAACCAGATGAGGTCCCGGCCACAGGAACCGGTACTCTAATAATCCAGCTTCAAGACGTCAATGATAATGCGCCCACCATTGTCCAGCGTGAAATCAGGGTAAATGTGTTTTCACAAAAGCTGTCCTGTGATTTGAAGTGCACATTGTGTAAGTCTGACGTGTTTTAGGCTCATTCACACATAGGATGATACTTTCGGTTGATGAAACGGGACGTTTGGGGAAACACCCTGAATGGTGTGGATTTTATGTAAACAGCAAAAATAAAAGTTAAGGACACACTGATGTACCTGCACTCAACAACTGGTAATTCAATATGTTGCGTTTATAAAACACAGTTTACTATTGGCCATGCACATCACCCACATATGATGTATGTTCATCTATCGCATTGCTGAGACAGACTGACTGAAACTTTTCCACAAAATCTTTGCAGTAAAAGAGAAACAAAAGAGGGTTTTTGATAATAAACTCGTATTCTGTGATACTAGAATATACTGATATTATCAAATCGCTACAACATAAATGAAGTCTTTTTCTTTTTTTTTTCCAGGGCTAATATCGTTTTAAAAGCTGTAGTGGTATTATTAGCAGATTTACATTTCTCACAATGTCATTTTGTTTATTTTGTTTTACCTCACAGGTGTGTAACAAGGACACGACTCCTCAGCTGTTAACGGTGACGGATAAGGATGGACCAGGCTTTGCAGCTCCATACAGTGTTACCTTACAGGGCATGTCAAAGACTAACTGGACTGCCAGGATGAATGAAACCAGTGAGTAAACTGTTAATTGCCAAATAATAGCCAAAAATAACTCTTTGCTACTTCTAAACTACCTGAAACCAAGACTAAGGAGAAATCCTGCAGTCCTTCAAGTACAAACACTGTCCTCAAAGCTTTAAAAATCAGCCAAGTCTGATGTTTTGTAGGATTAAATCTAGTAAGACAGGAGAACACTTTTTTGGATGATTATCAAATGTGTCAGAGACGAACTATTCATTAAAGAAACGTGAACACTAAATCTGAGATTTTTCCTTGTGTTACAGAAACAGGCATCATCTTGAATCTAGCCTCTGAGCTTCCAAAAGGAAGGTACACCGTGGTCATGAGGGTCACAGACAACCAGGGCTTAGAGCAGGACAGCACAGTCCAGGCTGAAGTGTGTGACTGCTCTGGAGAGGAGGTGGTCTGCAGAGACTTGAGAGCAGGTGGCGTCGGCCTGCCTGTGATCCTCGGAATACTCGCAGGAATCTTGTTGCTGCTCAGTGAGTCTGATTTTCAGTTATTTTGGTGTGACAATGACATGTTGAAATGGCCGAAGGAACAAGTTAAGCAGGACCAAGAAGAAATATTGAATTAGTCATGTTTAAATTGTTGTTATAATCATGACCAAGAAGAAAAAGTACATGCATATATGAAAGAAGACCGACCAGGCAATCATTTATTTGATGCTGCCTGGTTCAAAGTTTATTCACGATAACTTGAGTTTACCCTTTTTCCATGCAAATAAAAAAAAAAAAGTCCAATGAAGGGACCGACTTGGATCACCACACTGGTGTCGCTCTACACATCAAACATTCACACAGTGATTCAGAGATATATGTATCGTTGTAAAATATTGTGATACCGGTATTTGTAATTTTTTTAAGCATATTGGAGAAAAGCGGACAGTAGATGATTTCCTCTTGGGCACATACAGTTCATCACGATATACTGTATGAAGAATCCTCATCTATACTACGATTAATGCTGTGTTTTCATGTGCATAATAAACACTATTGAATTTAATTTCAATCAGACAGTCTGTCAGTCAAAGACTAGATTGGAGAATCATCTGAAGGTTTGCTGACTGCTGGGTCAATGTTGATGTTTTCTTGGAGTTTACGGCTCTGCGGGGCACAGATAAAGTCACCTAAACCTGTTTGGTATTTTCAGTGCTGGTGTTGCTGCTGCTGCTGTTTGCAAGACGCAAAAAGGTGGTTAAGGAGCCTCTACTGCAGGATGAAGATGTTCGAGACAACATCTACTACTATGATGAAGAGGGAGGCGGAGAGGACGATCAGGTACTTTAAAAAAAAAAAAATTGAGTTCCTTGATTGTTCAGGCGTTGCACTGTTAGGAAAGTCAGGATCAGAACACGGGTTTGTGTTCCTGTTTGGAAGATCTGGACACTGCCATGTCAGCTTAGCCAAAAAAATGACCTAGCTCAAAGTTCAGTTTACACCAACTAAAATGAACTAGATCATGTTCATTTTTAAAGGTTATATATATATATATATATATATATATAACACATTCATTTAGCTACAAATTCTCTTTTTCAGTAGAACCACTTATGTTTCAAGCCATATCCCTCAAGCTAATTACCAAAATAAATGAATGACAGTATGCTGTTTTAGCTCCACAGACAGACATTCCGTTTCAAACTCCTGCTAACTGCATTGTTTGTACTGTCAGCAGGATTAGCCATGCTGAATGCATGGAGAGTGCTTAGCACCTCCCATCACCTCTCTGAATGTGAGTGTTGTTCACTGCCCCAGGAGTGAGCTACACTCATGTTCCCATTCATGAGTTATAAACTGAGCGGTTCAGAGTATGTTCAATGAACGCAATCATTTTTACTTGTTCACGCTCAACATTGGGTCTGGAGGATGTAAATGATAAACCTCTGTGTGTGTCACTCAGGACTATGATCTGAGTGTTCTTCACCGCGGTCTGGACAACCGACCCGACGTCTTCAGGAATGATGAGATGCCCACCTTCATGCCAGCTCCTAAGTACCGACCTCGCCCTGCCAACCCAGAGGAAATCGGCAACTTCATTGATGATGTGAGTTAAAGAATGAAGAGCTCTTTCCTAATATTAAAGACCCACTCAGATGAAAATCACCTTTTTCTTGTTGTCTCTACGTCCATATGGCATTTTTCTGATACTAGAGGACATATCATGAGTAAAAGAAGTCCGAAATTGGATTTTTGAGTATTTCTGCATTCAATTGCTGTGAATCTCTGGCCGACCCTAACAGCAGGATCAGATACAGTGAGATTTCCTACGTCACAAATCCAAGCTCTGTCCCCGGAGCTCCGCTATGCAGGCTAGACTCAGAGAAATAGAGGACGGTCGCTGAACAAGCGTGTGTGATAGCGGATTGAAATGCACGTGAGAAAGCTAATTATGATGTTAAATTTCATCCTGCCCCTAAAAGCATTAGTGCTCGAGAACCGAATAGCTTCTATGTTACCTGTGTGCAGAGCAGTGCCATCTCCGCCCACAACTCAGAGGTGAATTGCTAATGAGCTCTACAAAAGAAAAGCCCTTGAAAATAACACAGGTAACACAATTTTGGCTAAAAAAGTAATAATCACAATTTAAAAACCACTGAGAACACTTTAAGTAGTAAAAAAAAAAAGCAATAGGGGTGGGGCTTTAAGGATCCAGAGTGGAAAGAATTGTTATTTGGAGTCTATCAAAGAAAAAAGCTGCAGAGAGACTGAATCAAACCCTCAATGCTTCTTCTGTTGTTCCAGTTGTAATGATTTCATTATCAGTTGGAAGCAGCTACATCACCTTGTTTTGCAGTTAGTACTTTAAAAATGACATAATATATGCCTTGCTCTTCTTCCAGAACCTAAAGGCAGCTGACAACGACCCTACAGCGCCCCCCTATGACTCCTTGCTGGTATTTGACTATGAGGGAGGCGGCTCTGACGCAGGAAGCCTATCCTCTCTTAACTCGTCCAGCAGTGGAGATCAGGACTATGACTGCCTGAATGAATGGGGGCCCCGCTTCAAGAAACTGGCCGACATGTATGGAGGAGGGGAAGACGATGACATGCTGTAAATTTGCAGATCTAAGGATACATACTGCTGTGTGAATGTGTGAATGATGTAGGCATGAACTGATAAATGGATGCAACCCAGGGAAAAAAACGTCGCACAGGCGCCAGTGGGCCTACAGGCTTTTTCTGGGGCTTGTGTGTCAGTCGAGTCCTGTTAGCAGCTACCTGCTCAGAAGCCAAAGGGTGACTTTGTTTTGTACAGGAATTTCCATTTTGTATGGTTAAGCTCTGTATTCCTGTCCTTTTTATTACTGTTTCACCTCCTACAATCTCAATAACTCCTCAGTTTAAATCTCTTTACTTAGTTGAGGATCCACATCATCATTTACTGCTGGTTCAAAGAGTTCAGGGCAGATATTTCTGTCTTGGTTCTTTCTGGGTGAAAAAGGACACGCAAACAGATGCTTGCAGTTGCACTGGTGATGCTTGTGTAATTACAGCGATGTATGGTACTTTATATTTCTCTTTTCTGTCTTGTGGAGTTTGTATCACTGATTTAGTTCAATATCATTGTCTTGTTTTTCTGTGTGAGGAAGTGAAATGACAGACACCCGTCACCCTCCAAAGGTGAGGTTAAGGAGTCATCAACAAATGCTTTTTTAAAACCTTTAAGTGCCTGTTGTGCTGACGTCTCCATCAGTTTGTACTTTTTTTTTTTTTTTTTTTTTTTGCAGTTGCCTCTGAAGGTACTCCATGCTCTGTTCATTTTGAGTTTTTTTTTTATAAAGTTATCTTAATAGAATTACAGGTTGGTGAACTGTCTTTTATAACTCATGCTCTATAATTCTGTTATTGTTTGAACTAAAAGGCCATACTGTGTCAGCATGTATGCTTCCCCCTCTCCCTGTAGTTGGTTTGATCCAAAAGATGCTCCATGAGACACTTTCAGGAAGTTAACACCTGACACAAGCGGCAAACGGGTAGCAGTGTGCTACTATATTACTGAGTGAACTGTTGATTGTAGAGAATGAAGCCGCTCTAATAAGGTTTGATTCATCCCTCATTCAGGTGTTAAAGCCCTGTTCTCACGGGGGCTCATGTAAGT